ATATTGTGAAATATTACAATTTACATTTGTGACATTTTGTGTGTTAAAATATTTTTAAAAAGCTGAATTTTTTGTGTCACATGATCCTTCAGAAATCATTCAAATATGCTGACTGTTGTGCTGCATAATTTTTTTCCCAAATTCTACGATGAATAGAAAGTTCAAAACAAGTAAACAATATCTAAACATCCTTAAAACAAAGAAAATTACATAAGACAATAAGTTTTATTTTCAGAGAAATCAAACTAAATTTTGTGAGCTTCATGCTTTAATAAATAAATAAACTAAACAAAAAAAAAATAAGTTTACGTTGAATCACAAAAATGAATAAACTGCAAATAAATAAAAACTAAAACTGAACTAAAAGTAAATTATACCTAAATAGTAATATATAAAATAAATAACACTATTACAAATGACTAAAGCACATAACAAAATTACTAAGAATTAAACTGAAAATCTACAGTAAATAATACTAAAAAACACTGCTTTTAAAACGACTGTTAAATGACTACTAGAATTAGAATTACAAATTAAATTAGAATTAAAAATGAAATCCTATTCAGCGCCATGCAACATTGCATTTTCCAAAATGTCTTCTTTTGTGTTCCACATAAGAAAGCAAGCCCTACGGGTTTGGGGTGAATTAATCATGACAACATTTTAATTTCCTTTAACTTTATAGGTTTATAAAGGTTTATAGAGCAAGCAGTGAACATAAAGCAGGTCAAACCCAGTAGCATTCTAGTTAAAGCATTACCTGACCTGCAACCGATCATTCCCTTGCTATCCTCCCTTACCAAGCACTTAGCAGTTACCTTGCAGTCAGTCTCAGCACTTTAGAGATCAGACCCGTGGCCAGACCGTTGACACTGGTCTCCGACGGTGCCTTGCAAAGAGCCCCGTCCGATCTTCCCAGGTCTGATTTCTGCTTCCTCCGCAGCTTTTTGCGGTAAAATGCCCCGAGCAGCTCCATGCCGTCTTTAGCCGTCTTCTGATAAACTGAGAATAAAATGCGAGGCGGCTGGAAGGGTTGGCGGGGTGCAGTTTGACGATGCAAAGATCATTAAAACACGCAATTAAATGTCATTAAAAAGTCACGATAAGAACTAGAATAAACATCCTGCCCTCGCCAGCACTGGACAAACATATTTCAAAAACGAAGATAGGGAGGAAAAAGCTTCCTTCCTGAGATTCAATATTAGAGTTGTAAAGAAGGAGTTGGATATAAAAAACTGGGATAAATAGTAAAATAATGCAACACACAGACAGCTGGGAGCAAATGTGAACACATGATAGCATGCGTTCATAACATCAAACAAAGACTGGCCTTTGTGTGCATCTTCCTCTCTTCCTTTCTTTTTCTCCCTCTTCGTCATCATGATCATCCACGTGATCCCAGACAAGTCAACAAGCCTATCCGTGCCCAGAGGGCATTATGGGAACAGGAAGGCCATAGTTTGGGTGTGTCACAGGGTTGCTTTCATGTGTCGCTGACAGCCGTCTCCGGGCCTGCAGGGAATATGGGCAGGTGTAATAGCACAGGTGTCTTCACCTGTCTGCAGAATAAGGCCACTGGACGTGAGCGACGGGGTGACATATTGCTCAGTTTACCCTCAGACAGACCTGAGGTTTCTTCCACAAATACATCACAGACTAATGACACCCGAGTACAATAACTGCCGATTTCCGTGGCATCCCATTGTTCCCAGGAGAGACGCTTCATGTCGCGCTCTCAGGGTAACCTGACTCTTAGGGACTCCAAAGGGTCTGACCCACAAAAAAACCCCAAAACCGTCTGTCTCTGGCCTTCTCGTCGCCTCCCCGGCTGGGCCAGACTGCAGAGGGTGTGTCCCGCTGCAGAAACCTTATCTGATCCCTGGGAACATGGCTCGTCAAATACACTAATCTGTTTGATCTGAGAGGAAGCTGAAATTGGAGAATTGGATTAGGCGGGAACGGTGGGGTTCGAGAGGAGAATGAGATGCTCGCTAAATACTGTCTGTCTGAAGAGGTGTCAGTTGGAAATAGATAGATATAGGTATAGGAGGAGGTCGCCGGTTACATCCCAATTTACATAATTCTATGCACTTAACGAACCTCAGTGGTGATGGGAAAGTATGTAATTTCTTTATGTAATAGGTATATATACTGCACAACTTCTTTTTTCTCTAAAGAAGTTTCCTATGCTTCCTAATACAGTAATATTGTGAAATATTACAATTTACAATTACATTTTCTATGTTAAAATATTTTTAAAAAGCTGAATTTTTTGTGTCACATGATCCTTCAGAAATCATTCAAATATGCTGACTGTTGTGCTGCATAATTTTTTTCCCAAATTCTACGATGAATAGAAAGTTCAAAACAAGTAAACAATATCTAAACATCCTTAAAACAAAGAAAATTACATAAGACAATAAGTTTTATTTTCAGAGAAATCAAACTAAATTTTGTGAGCTTCATGCTTTAATAAATAAATAAACTAAACAAAAAAAAAACCTTAATTCAATGGCAAAATAAGTGCACGTGAATGGGTTAAATGCAGAGCAAAAATTCCGCATATGAATTTGCATTTGATTGAAAAAGAAAGAAAGAAAACAAACTTTGAGGACTTTGCCTCCTCGTTTCAGATCACCTCCGCACACCACTGAGATATACATATATTTATTTGGAAAACAAGACAAGCAAATAATTACGCAAATATTATATAAACCCCCTGGGCACCACTGTTTTCAACTTCTTATGATTGAAGTAAAATTGGGATGCAACCTTACATCTGGATGGGATCTCATGACCATTGCAGTCTAGTTGAAGCAACTGTCTTCAGCAGAGTTCTTTAAGCTGACATGGTTCATCGGACTGAGGCTATCCAGGGGGAGACGGGTTATGTTATTAATGCATGTCACTGTGGCATTATGGGAAATCCTACCTCTGAGTGTGCAAATAACATAGGAATGTTCACAATCAAGGAACACGGAGCAAAACACACATGACAGATGAACTGCGAGTGAACTAGATGTAATTAACGTCCTAAAAGAAGATTCTTCCAAGCAAGTGAAAGAGAAAGCTGGGAGAGAATTTAAGATGCCAGAGTTTCGAATCTTCATCCCCAGGCACTTTAGACTCACTTCCTGTAATCATTCCATGAATAGCTAAATGTATGTGTACAATAACACGTACACACATGGAAATAACTGCTCTAAAGTGATGGGTGGGCCTATAACACCGTTGTCTTGGTTCAGTCTCTATTCATTGTATTTTTACACACCAAACATCTCAAAATTGTCAAATCACTCAGTTTCTATGAAACTCTAATCAAAACTCCAATAGCTGCAGGAACTGACCATGTAAATGTAGAATTTGTTATTTCAGGTCTTGTGTAGCATTACGACATCCATGACCACATATTCGGAGCACAGACGTGAGTGGAGCATCCAAAACAAACCCTCAAAGTAGGGAATCTCACAAATCTGGCGGGTTTGAGGATGGCAACGAAACGTGGACAAAATCAAGTCACGTTCAGTATCTGTGTTTAGATGAGAAGGGTGAGAATACTGTGCATGCTATCTGTCAGTTTGTCTCACCGCGCCATCTGTCGGACCAATGCAAAATAAATGTCCTTTCTCATTTATGTATTTGAAATGACAGTATATTGTATGTAAAACTGTATATTATGATTAAATGTTCACATATACACTACTGTACAAAAGTTAAGGGGGGGTCGTTTGTTTTTGAAAGAAGTCTCTTCTGCTCACCAAGACTGCATTTATTTGATCAAAAATACAGTAAAATCAGTAATATTGTGAAATATTATTACAATTCAAAATAACTATTTTCTATTTGAATGTATTGTAAAATGTAATTTACACTTGTAATGCAAAGCTGAATTTTCAGCATCATTACTCCAGTCTTTAGAGTCACGTAATCCTTCAGAAATCATTCTAATGTGATGATTTGCTGCTAAAGAAATATTTCTTATTATTATCAATGTCAAAAAGAGTTGCTTAATATTTTCTGTGGAAACATTATTTTCAAGATTCTTTGATGTATAGAAAGTTTGAAAGAACAGCATTTACGTGAAATAGAAATCTTCTTTAACATTATAAATGGCTTTACCGTCACTTTTGATCAATTGAATGCATCCTTGTGCTATAAAAGTATTCATTTCTTTAAAAAAAAATCTTCCAGACCCTAAACTTTTGAACGAAAGTGTATTTAAAAAAATGTGAATGATGCTTATATGATAAACTACCTGATGCCAACTGGGTCCTGTTTTAATGTAAGTCCGTCTTTTAACCTGCCATCATGCCCAAATTGAACTGCTCGACCTTTCCATTAAAGCCTTATTCGGATAAAAGTGAGATTAAGGATCGGGCTGTTACACTATTTACAGCTTCTGTACACAGAACTCCAGTTTTATTTACACACAGAAAGAGAGGAAGAGAAACGGACAGAAACTAGAAAAAAGGAAAAAGTTCATTTTGTCATGCGAGACAACAGCATAATCTTGCAGTTCTCCAAAAATCTCCTTAAAAACCCCATAAACAACTCAATACTAGTGGATTTAGAGTAAACAGAGACGGGATGCACCGATAGTCACCCCTGACGTGACCGACTGGTAACCATAAACCCAAATCCCCTTCCTCTTCCTGTAAGAGACAGATTAATTTCCTGTTTCAAAAATAAAAGCCAGATTCTGTTTCCTCTGATGAATAACCTCATGTGTGCACATCAGGGATATTCTAGTTAACTAAAACTAAAACCATAAAAACAAAACTTTATCTGAACTTTAACTTAACTTTACCATAAACTTTAGCTGAAATAAAATGTATACTAAAATAACTAAAACTGAAATAAAAATTAATAAAAAATAAAAAAACTAACTAAAATTAAATAAAAAAAATAATTCAAACTATTAAAAAAACTATATTAGTATCTTAATAATACTTAAACAACACAAAGATCACCAGCGGGTTGAGCTCTTCACACATGCACACCTGTTTCTGATGCGTAGTTTCACTCCTCCGCTGCATCTGCCGTCTCTGGAAGGACTGAGAGGACGCGGGTCAGAACAGCAAGGACCTGGACAACACTCTCTACAAACACAAGCAAACATTTAAGCTAGACATGTACTCTTTATAAATCCCAGACAGTTAAAGCACTCATATCTTGGAAAACCGAACAGTTCTTTTTTTAAAAAATAACACAAGGTTGATGCATGATCAAATGTCTGTAACTAATCTAAACTTTCTGCTCTGTTCTCTCAGACCACTTAATAAAAACCGTAAGAACTTGTTCAGAGATTTTCATGGTTATGACCTCATCACAACCATGATCTCATTAAGTTAAAAACAACAAGTCAACAACAAGTGTGTCGAGACGCCTGCATCATATGTGAATGCCTTCTAAGAAATGCATGTGATGGACATGACTAAACTGGCCTAATCAAACAGGGCTTGACTAGCTGATTGCAAAAATATGTAATTTTGCACATCCCTAGTCTAGACGGTATGAGTGCATTGGTTACTCTGTAAATGACACATGTCTGTTTGTCTTTAGATCATGTATTTTTGCAGAATCAATGTTAGTCAGAGAGAGGACAAACTCTCCGTCTCTTTTTACACGTTCATGTGAGTCTATTACGTGGACTCTTGGGCTTGACTTCAGCATTTGTTCAAATGCTGTGTTGTTGTGGCCGTATTTGACAAAGGAGGCACCGTCCGGTCCATTCACCACATGCTCACATGGATGCACAAAGAGTATTTTTTATTAACCTAAAGGACAGGATACAATAAAGCCATGCAATTTTAAAAATATATATGTATGTATCTGTGTGTGTGTGTGTGTGTGTGTGTGTAATCTATGTATATAAATTATATATATATATAATATTTATATATAATACACTTTTCATATATGTCACCCTGGACCACAAAACCAGTCTTAAGTCGCTGGGGTATATTTGTAGCAACAGCCAAAAATACATTGTATGGGTCAAAATGATTGATTTTTCTTTTATGCCAAAATATCATTAGGATATTAAGTAAAGATGATGTTCCATGAAGATATTTTGTTAATTACCGTAAATATATCAAAACCTAATTTTTGATTAGTAATATGCATTGCTAAGAACTTCATTTGAACAATTTTAAAGGTGATTTTCTCAATATTTTGATTTTTTTGCACCCTCAGATTCCAGATTTTCAAATAGTTGTATCTCGACCAAATATTGTCCTATCCTGACAAACCATACATCAATGGAAAGCTCTCATATTTTATTCATTTATGAAATTTATTCAGCTTTCAGATGATGTATAAATCTCAATTTTGAAAAATTGACACTTAAGACTGGTTTTGTGGTCCAGTGTCACATATAAAGCTTTATATATATAGTTTATAATTATATGCATATAATATGCTGATTTGAAAATCAAGAATCACTTACTAAAAATGTTGAAACCATTTTAATGTGCTGCTAACTATTCTTGTGAAAACTGACATTTTTAGGAATCTCTGATGAATAGAAAGTAAAAAACAGCATTTATATGAAATTAATATCTTTTATAACATTATAATGGTCTTTTCTGTCACTTTTGGTTTAATACATCCTTGCTGAATAAAAGTATCAATTAAAAAAAAAAAATCATCCTTTATTTCATAAACTGAATGCTTATTTCTTATAGAAGAAAACAAATTAATATCTTTTATAACATTATAATGGTCTTTTCTGTCACTTTTGGTTTAATACATCCTTGCTGAATAAAAGTATCAATTAAAAAAAAAAACTCATCCTTTATTTCATAAACTGAATGCTTATTTCTTATAGAAGAAAAAATAAATTACAAAGAGTTTCTGGTGACAAGTGCTTTGAGAGCATATGCTTGTGTGTGTATCTACTGCACAAACTGCGACTACAAGAGCTTAGACAGTAAAACAGCAGCCAGCTGTCCTCCAACCGCACTGAGAAACGTTTGCAATGTTGACACAGCATTCCTAGAGTTAGGAAAGGTGACATTACACTCTTTATAAAGGGTTTTCACACACCGCTAATAAAAGACAGCACAAAGACATTTACACAAACTTTTACTTAAAGGGACGGTGCAACCAAAAATTTAAAATCTGTTTTCTCACCTTTAAAATTTATAAACCTGTATGCATTTCTTTATTCTGTGGAACTAAAAAGAAGATATTTTGAAGAATGTTGGTAACTAAACAATTTCGGTTCCCATTGACTTCCATTGTATGGACAAAAATACAATGGAAGTCAATGGAAACTGAAATTGTTTGATTATCAACATTCTTCAAAATATATTCTTTTGTGTACCACAGAATAAAGAAATGCATACAGGTTTGGAACAACATGAGGCTGAGTAAATGACCATTTTCATTTTTGGGTGGACTATCCCTTTAAAGGAGATAACACTGTGAGGAATAAAAAGCACTTGGACATTTTGCTAAATAACTCTTTTTATAGATCATAAGCATGGGAAATATCTTTTTTAAGGACTATCCCTTTAAAAGTGAAAAGCATGCTGCATACCGCTCTTTCAAATGTTCTTTCTCTTTTAAAGCTTGATTTATCACTCTTTCTTCAGAAGGGTGTGATTGGCCCGACTGCTGTAGGTATGTATCCACTCTATGCTGCTTCAGAGGAGACCTTCTTCTAATTATACCTCTATTAATCACTTTAAGTGGCCTGTGAAATGTAGGGACGTTTATTGGAATTTTGTGTACCACAGAATAAAGAAATGCATACAGGTTTGGAACAACATGAGGCTGAGTAAATGACCATTTTCATTTTTGGGTGGACTATCCCTTTAAAGGAGATAACACTGTGAGGAATAAAAAGCACTTGGACATTTTGCTAAATAACTCTTTTTATAGATCATAAGCGTGGGAAATATCTTTTTTAAGGACTATCCCTTTAAAAGTGAAAAGCATGCTGCATACCGCTCTTTCAAATGTTCTTTCTCTTTTAAAGCTTGATTTATCACTCTTTCTTCAGAAGGGTGTGATTGGCCCGACTGCTGTAGGTATGTATCCACTCTATGCTGCTTCAGAGGAGACCTTCTTCTAATTATACCTCTATTAATCACTTTAAGTGGCCTGTGAAATGTAGGGACGTTTATTGGAGCAGGGAGTCTTGATGTACCATCTCCGATCAGCACATTAACAATCCATGATTTTAAAGCCAGCGTGTGCATCTCTGAACTCTTCTGCTCAAATGCCCCCAGCATTCCTCGCATACCTGCCCCCGGAGGACCTCGGTGGTCACCATAGATACGTGAGCAGCATGCAACTTCCTGTAAACCTCAAACCCCCAATGCTGCTTACAGATACACTAACCTTCAAAAGTTTGGGGTCAGTAAGATTTTTTAGAAAAGAAATGAATACTATTATTCAGCAAGGATGCATTAAATTGATCAAAAGTGACATTTATAATGTTACGAAAGATTTCTATTTCAAATAAATGCTGTTATTTTAAACATTCTACTCATCAAATAATCCTGTAAAAAACATTTTCCACAAGAATATTAAGCAGCACAACTGTTATCAACATTGATAATAATAAGAAATGTTTCTTGAGCAGCATATCAGTATATTAAAATGATTTCTGAAGGATCATGTGACACTGAAGACTGGAGTAATGATGCTGAAAATTCAGCTTTGCATCACATAAATAAATTACATTTTACAATATATTCACATAGAAAATAGTTATTTCAAATTTAAATAATATTTCAAAATATTACTGTTTTTACTGTATTTTAGAATAAATAAATGCAGCCTTGGTGAGCAGAAGAGACTTTCAAAAACATAAAAAAATAATCTTATTAACTCAACCTAACACCCATAAAACATTTGTTTGCCAATGCATGTAATACAAAAATATTAAACGTCTAAGCGTTAAAAATACAGATAAATGAATACTTTGACGGAGGGACCAGAGAAAAAAGGTACAAAAGTTGTCACTGAGGCGGTACCTTTTCCAAAAGGTACTAAAATGCACAATTTAGGTATTAATATGCACTCTTTAGGGGTAAATAAGTAAATAAGACTTTTGGTCTTCCAAAAGAGGACACGACTAGAAATCAGTGGTTAAATTGTATTTACAACACTGTTCCAGAACACTTCAACCCAAATATCCAGATGTGTGCAGCACATTTTACGGAGGACTGTTTCCTGATCCTGGGAGAGTAGACTACAATGCCGGTGTCTGTTTCTATAAAGTGGGACAATTCCAACTTTGTAAGGACAGTCTGGCGCTTCTGACTCAGCTTTGAAGTACATTTTCATATTTAAAGAATTTGCCACTGACGATTCAAATAAGCGCTACTCTATACTCAAAAAGCAGTGTAGAGTAGCACTTGATGTTTGTTGTTTCTCCGAGCAACAAATGCAGACATGGTTTTATGTTTAGGCGGCGCGATGCAACGCAACACGTAAAAAGACAAGTCATTATAATCCGTAATTATGTCCCCATTGGATGCAACGAATGCCTCGTTTATAATGGGTTTTCATGTTTTTGAATCATCGCTCCGGCCGGACAGGGCATCATCACAGTATGGTAAGGGGCGTAACATTTCCGTCACACGCTTGAGGTATTTGGCCAATCACAACGCACTGGATAGCTGGCCAATCAGAGCTTTGTAAAAATCGACACGTTTCAGGAAGGCGGGGCATAGAGGAGAAACAATAATGTACAGTATGTGGAAAATAATGTGTTTTTGAACCTTAAACCACATAAACACATTTCATTACACCAAATACACAAAATAATGTTCTTTTAGCAACATCATATGACCCCTTTAATAAGCCTCCTGTTGACCTTAATAAGGCTGGTATTTATATGTGCAACTAGGAATCTGATATTAGTGCTGATCACGTTTTATTTGTTCTCGTATAAAACAATACAGCCTCTTCCAAAACAATACAAAGGTGAAAAGTCAACATATCTTTTTAGCTGATAAAAACAATTAATATAATCTGAATTATTATGCAAAACCGTGTCTAGCATTATATTAAGGAAGAAAGCCACCCAGAATAACCTAGCAAATGCATAATGATGTGCTAAAAAATACAATAAACTTGTTTT